GGGTGGAGAACGATAAAGAAGTGGAAAACAGTCCAAAAATCAATGATCCTGGGAAAGCTGTGAATCAGGACACTAAAATCAATGGCGGCATGCACTTCTCTTTAAGAGAGATGTATTTTGGTAAGCAAGTGGATCTGGCAGCAGGGAAGGAGGAGGTGGGAGCCAAGGAAGAGGCTGCAAGTGAGGCTGCCCACCAGCCTGTGGCAGTCAGCAGACAGACAGAGGATGCTCCGTTGTCCTCAGAGGTGCTGGGGGCAGGACCTGTGTCATCCAAGGGACAAAGGGCCCAGCACCAAGCCCAGAAATTGGAGGGAAACAAAGCCGTCTGTCCAGAGGTAACTAGGACAGAAAGCCGCCAACAAAAGGGTTGCAACAAGAAAATATTCATGCTGCACAGTTGTGTTGTGACACCAGCCCTGGCAGCCTCTTCTGCTGAGGCTTCATAGGTCTCCATTGCCAAAAGCAGCCAGGAAAAAGGGCTTTCTAGACATGGTGTGCTCAGATAGCAGAGATTCCACCCCCTCTCCCAAGAAATGTCAGGCGAGGTGTGAGGAGAGATGTATCTGTGAGCACTCCTGTTCAGTTGGCAGTCTGACCTCATGCAGAATGTTTCCTAATCAGTTAAGCAGGGAGCACTGAATAGCTATTTATAGTCGGGGGTGGATGCCTCGTGCTTGTGACAGGCAGCAGGGCCATCTATTCAGTTCCACTGAGCCTGAGCTTCTAAGGAGCCCCCATGCAAATGAGCAGTGTGCCAGGTACCCCACGTGAGCTGCACTGGGCAGGGCTTTGAGTTCTTTTTACAGTGCAACGTGTATACAGTAGAACTGGGCTATTTTCTTGGCTCTTCCTGCTTGGAAAAACTCTGTTGCAAGACTCAATTGTGGTGTTGATGCAGTGCCAGGACACGGCACCTGCTCCTGACCCTCACTCTGCATCTTATAGTCAACTTCTATTTTTGTCACTTGAAGCATTTTCCATGAAAACACTAGACTGGAAGCTACTAGCTTTTCTTTTTCCTTTTCTTTTTCTTTTTCTCTTTCTTTTTTTTTCTTTTTCTTTTTTTTCTCTTTCTTTTTCTTTTTCTTTTTTTTTTCTTTTTCTTTTTCGTTTTTTTCCTTCCCTTTTCCTTTTTCTTTCTTTTTCTTTTTCTTTTATTTTCTTCTTTTCTTCTTCTTTTTCCTTCTCTGGTAAAAGGTTCCCGAGTCTGATTTGCAGCTGCCATCAGGGTTTGAGGGTTGAGCTATGGTAGGTGCACCTTTTTGATACAAACCAAGACTATCAGAGAAGGCACTCCAGATCCATCACATCTCCCTCGGCTGGTAATGGAAATATTTTAGGATGTGGAAACATGCACGATACAGGAAGTGGAGCTGCTGGGTGCTTGAGCCCATGGCAAAGTTTTCACCTTCTCTACTTGTTGTGGTTCCTTGTCTCTCTCCTGCCTGGCTCGCCAATAATGGCATGGTTTGGGCCCGACATGACAACAAACAACCAGCCCCGTGGCCACTCACTCAACTCCTCCCTCACACACACCCTGCAATGGGGAGGACAAACCCAACTAGAAGCTCATGGGTTGAGACAAAGGACAAGGAGAGATCTTCAGCCATTAAGGTCCTGGGCAAAACAGACTCAAGTTGGGGAAAAGTAATTATTTCATTTCATACTAATTAATGCCCACAGGACACAGACACACACAGAGCAGGGCTTGCATATGTTATCCCCCCCCTCCCTTCTTCCCACCCAAATCCCTTTGTTCCCAGTTTCTCTCCCTCCATCCCCCCAGCGGCACAGGGGGATGGGGTTTAGAGTCAGTTCACAGGCTGGTGGTTCCTGCTGCTCCTTCCTCCTCAGAGAGAAGGATTCCTCACAGTCCTGCCCTGTTTCCCCATGGCAGATCCTCCACCAACCTCTCCTCCAGGAGCCCTTCCCACCAGCCCGGAGCTGCTCCAGCGCTGCCCGCAGAGTCAGAGGGGCTTCTGGAACAGGCACCTCCCCTGGCCCGGGGGCTTCCATGGCTGCTTCAGCCCAGCCCACTGGCCACAAAATCCAAGCCCACTGGCCACAAAATCCAAGCCCACTGGCCAAGTTCACCCCTCCTGGTGCCTTCAGGGAATGTTCCACCACGTTCCTTCATGAATGCAGGGGCACAGCTGCCATCTTGCCATGGGCTGCAGGGAAGCTTCTGCTTGGGCACCTTCTGCCCCTTCTTCCTCCCCAACCACGGGATCTTAACCCCAGCACTGCCTTTTGCCTCTCCAGCTCAGTTCTTCTTTTCTAACTGCTAGCTCAGCTCAGCTCTTACCTCAGTTCTTTTGTATGTTAGTGGCAGAGGTTCATCTGTTGTCCCTCTAATGGCTCCTTGGCTGGTTTTGGAGCAGGGGGAGTTTCCCAGCTTGTTATGAGAGCCACCTCTGGAGCCCATCCCCCGCTAACAAAAATCCGACCAAACCAAACCATCGAACTACTCATTTTAACGCCCCTTGCTCTCAAGGAGAGCCAAGTGTTGGTGTGCAGCAGTCATGCTTGGTCTGTCAGCCTCAGGCTTTGACATGCATCAAGGTATTTTCCTCTTCAAAAACCCACTCACAGAAAGAAGCCTGTAACTTCTCTGCTGGTGTGCCTTTGAGGAGACAAAAAGGAATGCTTTTGATTTGAATACGTCAGCTAGTTGGGCATGCTGAGAAAAGTGCTCACACTTTTGTGTGACCAAATAAGCTATTTTAAAGCCTTTCAAAGCTGACTCCCAGGTGTTTTGGGGTATTTTCACTCCCCAGGACTCGAGTTGCCTGTTTTTTTCTTTTTTAATCCTTTCCTTAAACAAGACAGGTGCATGAGTGTTTTCCTGGCCTTGAAACATAGCTGGGCCTCATACTCAGTTGTATTTGTCTGTAGCAGAATTGTCAGTTTGTAACCAGGCTCTGACCATCCTCACACCTCACATGCAAGATCAGAGAAGAAACTGGATGTGCATGATGATCACTCTTGCCTAACTTTGAAACTGGTGGTTTTATTATATTTCTTTTACCTATCCCTAGTTTGAGTATTTTATGATTGCTTAAGGAAAGATGCTTTTCTGAAAAGCTCCCAGAGGCTTTTCTGAATAAGCTTTAATTGGTGCACCAATGATAATCAAATTTGCCCTAAGTCCTCTTCAGCCAAAGAGGTGTCCCCACTGACCAGCACCATTGCGTAGAGCCACCTTTGAGAACGACCAGCCCTGATCCACCTCCAAGCCCCAGGCACTGTGCTGCTCAGCCCCCAGCTCAGAGAGACCAGGGCTGTGTTGCCTCTGGGACTGTGGCCATTCCCATCCCTTTTGTGTACCATGAAGGAGCAAAATACTGTGGTAAAACCCAGGGAGGTTTCGCTGCATGAAGCTTGCCTGTCTCTTAAAATCAGAGAATCACAGAATTGTTTTGATTGGAAAAGACCTTTAAGATCTTCAGGTCCAACCATTAACCCAGCACTGCCCAGGCCACCACTGCCCCATGTTCCTCCACACCACATCTACATGGCTTGGAAACCCCTCCAGGGATGGGGACTCCACCCCTGCCCTGGGCAGCCTGGGCCAGGGCATGGCAACCCTTTCTGTGAAGAATTTGTTCTCAATATCCAATCTAAACCTCCCCTGGCACAACTTAAGGCCATTTCCTCTTGTATCACTTGTTTGTTAGGAGAAGAGACTGATTCCCCCTGTCTCCAGCCTCCTTTCAGAGAGCTGTGGAGAGCAAGGTCTCCCCTCAGCTTCCTTTTCTCCAGGCTGAACACCCACAGCTCCCTCAGCTGCTTCTTGTCAGATTTGTGATCCAGCCCCTTCTCCAGCTCCATTGCTCTTCTCTGGAATCCCTCCAGCCCCTCAGTGTCCATTTGGGGCTGCTTGTGCCACCCCATGGACTGGGGCCCTAGTTCTGCATGCCTTGTGTGCAGAGACAGAAAATGCAGAGCCTTTGTCATCCTTTGCAGTCTACCAAGGAAACAGACTTGAATTTTGGGTGCAGGAATGGGCCCCCAAATGCTGCTTCTCCCATCCCAGTCCTCTTATACTCACAGTTATAACAGTTCTTTGGGAATGGGCTTGCTGAGGGACCACCATTACCTTTCCTGTTTTTTTCCAAGCATTCAAACAAAGCCAAAGTTGTACAAAATAGAAGGCTGAGTGCCAGAGCCCTTCTTTCCCATGGACCTCATTTTGGAGGCTTGAAGCTCAGGTCAGAGTTCTCAGGAGAAAAACTTTAGCAACAGATCCTCTGGGATGTAACTAGACTCTGCTGTGTGCATTCCCTGTTCCCCTGTGATTGTCCTGATGTTGCCAGCTGAGCATCAGCTGAACACATGGTATCATCTCCTCTCGTGAGCCTTATCCTACAAAAATAGGTGACCCTTGGCTGGAGGATTTCACCAGATCTCCTCAGCATGAAGCTCAGCAGTCACAGCTTGCTGTAACTCATCTGCTGTTGTGTGCAGCTACAGTCAGAAGCATTTGAGCTACCTGAAACAGGGGGGTCAGGTAGCGTAGATAATGTCAAGGTGTGCAGTTTTGTTGTAACTCATTTGGGTGGCCTCATCCAGATAGTGGATGGTTGCCCCAGCTGAATGGAGATTGCAGACTTAGTGCAGGGGGAGCACAGAGCTTTAAAAAAAGCAAAGAAATTATACGAGGCCTTGGCAGTGGCTGGTGAAAACGGGAAAGGGGTGCTCCTTGGGAAGGCACTGAGTCAGAGATGGAATTAAAAGCCATGGATGTTGTAGATAGACAGATCTCCTGCCTCTTTGTGTGTTGAAAGGCAGAAGAGTTGGACTGAATTGAAAGACCCCCACATTTTGTGCATCATGATAGGGGGCTGAGGGGTGCACTACTGTGGCACAATGGCGAAGCCAGGAGGCCCTGGATGAGTGAGTATTTGGGATAACAGGTTAATACTTAGGATTCAAGCAGCACTTGGGCCATGCCATATGGCACAGCTGGACCACAAGCACCACTGAGCAGACCCAGGAAGTAAAATTATTCTAATGTATTTTTAAAAATAATATTATTTTTTTTTACTAGGTTGCAGCAACAATGGGACAGTCTGCTGGTGACTTAATACATCCAGTGTCCAGTCCAACCATAGAGACCAGTCAGCAAGCCAGTAAGTTAGAGGAGCTCAGGAAGGAGATACCTGCCTGCCAGGAGACTGGGGGGGCA